CATGAGCCCTTGATAGTTTATAAATGGGTATTTTGTCATATCTTGCCCTGGGGTTCTGTGAAATTTTAAGCAAAGTTTTTCAAGCAGAAGATATTTTATCTTTCTTGAGATGGCAGTTTAAAAAAAGTACATAGAGAAAGAAGTCGGAAGATTCAGTGGTATTCTAGAGCAAGAGACATCATTGCTGATATTAGATAAATCTTGGCTCCAAACAAGAATACCAGAAGGATATTTAACCTGTGCTTTGTTGACTGTATGAGGTCATTGGCCATATAGATTACAGTAACATATAGAGAACCTTACGGAGAATGACAGTTGTGGGACACGTAAATGTCCTCATGTGGAATCTGCACATGTACCAATAGGCGGTCGTCTAACAGAGCAAGGAGATACTGTGTGGTTTAGGATTGTGTCAACGATGAACTCATGACTCTAGGTCATATATAATATAAAACTGAGCACAGGGACTCAATGATCTATCAAAAATGAAAAGGACATAATCTAACATTCAGTAAAATAAAGCGGATATAAGACTCTACCTTGATTTAATAGCCTCATTTATGAACTCAAACATACCAGTGATCATGAAGATGGCACAGACCAGACAACAGTTCGTTCTGTTACACACAAAGATGCCATCACTGGGCACCAACTTGATGGCCACCAACAACACTATAATACTGATTATGTTGCCAGCCTTCTAGGGCTCTCAGAGAGCCTGTCACTGTTGCAGCCAACGCAACCAGGTGGAATAGAGCTCTTCCAAGTTAATTTTTATAAACGCAGAGGAAACAGTTGGGTTTGCTATCTCCCAACTGCTTCAAAGTTCAGTTAAAATCAAGCAAGTTACATACCTTAAGCTATGTGATAAGAAACAGGCTTTACAATAGTCCCAGGAGTAATTGACAGGTTTTATAAAGAGCCGAGGATTTTCAAGCAAAGGACTAAAGGGAGGAAAGTTCACAGGATAATAGTTGACTTTTCCCCTACGGGATTTTCAGAACATCAGTTGACATCTTCATTTTTCCAAGACCGGTACCTCCTAAAGCTTCTGGATTCATCGCTTTGTCTTCATGGCCCTGCTTCCCCTTTCTTGAGTTATAGCATCCTTGAGTAATTAACAGGTTCTGCATCGAGCCCAGGCTTTGAATAATTAACAGGTCTGAAGGGAGTGCTTTAAAATAGGGGAGGGGGTTGATACATCCTGGGTCCCTTTTAACAAACGAATTCTCAACAGATCAAATCCCAAACTCTGCTACGTGTCTGGTATTTGATTAAAAGTAGGCTAACTCTCTTACCCTCTCTTGTCAATAACAGGCAGGAACACAGAATTGATCTCAAAAATAAATTTTGACCATGAAAATATTGCAGGGACTTAAACCGCATAAACATTTCTTTTCCTCCTGGATATATTTTAAATATTGCTACTATAAAAATGGTATGTGGGCATATTACCTCCTCTAATTTTTCACTGTCACCACCAACAGCCCAAGGCAGATTCCTGAGGCAGAGGTCAGACTTACCTCCTCTTCAATCTTTTTGCGAATTACGATAGCCAACCAGCATTCTCTACTTCCCTATAGACTCAGCCAGTCATTTAAAAGGATGGTTTGAATATCTCATTTAGGTTTTAAAATACATTACATAGTTGGAGGTCATAACTGTCAAATATTTTTGGAAAGAGAAGTTTTTTATATCATTTTATTAGGGGCTCATAGAACTCTTATCACAATCCATACACACACACATCAATTGTGTCAAACACATTTGTACATTTGTTGCTATCATCATTCTCAAAACATTTGCTTTCTACTTGAGCTCTTGGTATCAGCTCCTCATTTTTTCCCCTCCCTCCCCGCTCCCCCCTCTCTCATGAACCCTTGGTAATTTATAAATTGTTATTATTTTGTCATATCTTACACTGTTCGATGTCTCCCTTCACCCACTTTTCTGTTGTCCATCCCCCAGGGCGGAGGTTATATGTAGATCCTTGTAATTGGTTCCCCCTCTCTACCCCACCAACCCTCTACCCTCCCGGTATCACCACTCTCACCACTGGTCCTGAAGGGATCATCTGTCCTGGATTCCTTGTGTTTCCAGTTCCTATCTGTACCAGTGTACATCCTCTTGTCTATCTGGATTTGTAAGGTAGAATTGGGATCATGATAGTGGTGGGAAGGAAGCATTTAGGGACTAGAGGAAAGTTGTATGTTTCATTGTTGCTACACTGCACCCTGACTGGCTTGTCTCCTCCCCGTGACCCTTCCGTAAGGGGATGTCCAGTTGCCTACAGATGGGCTTTGGCTCTCCACTCCACACTGCCTCTCATTCTCACTAATATGATTTTTTTGTTCTTTGATGCCTGACGCCTTGTGTTCACACAGGCTGGTGTGGGCTTTGTTACTTCTGAGCTAGCTGGCTGCTTATTTATCTTCACTTCTTTAAGACCCCAGATGCTATATCTTTTGATAGCCAGGCACCATCAGCTTTCTTCACCACATTTGCTTATGCACCCATTTGTCTTTAGTGATGGTGTGGGGGAGGTGAACATCATGGAATGCCAGTTTAATAGACAAAGTGTTCTTGCATTGAGGGAGTACTTGAGTGGAGGCACAGTGTCCATCTGCGACCAGGAAAGAGAAGTCTTATCGAGTGATTTTTAACAAGTCTCTTGGGTTTCTTAGGTACACAATCACATCATTAGCAAAAACTATTCTTTTAATATTTATATAAATTATTTCATTGTACTGCATCATCTGGAATCTCTAAAGTAACAAAGACCCCTTGCTTTGTTGCCAAATTTATTTACAGTGCTGTCAGTTTTCAGTAAAGAAACATTTTATCCCGAAGTCATTAAATGTATATACCTGGTCTTTTTATGGTAGTTTTTATTTTTCTAGAAAATCATCCCATTAATTTACCAACTTTCAGTGGATTGGTAAACAAAATCCTATTGCAGTTTTGGGAATCAGTTGTATCTATGGCTATTTACCCTTTTTTGCTTCTAATATGGTTTACTGATGCTTCTTTTTTCCTTGAACATATTATATTGCATGGTACCCATTGTATTCATTTTCTCAAGCCACCAGATGTCTTTCATGCTAGATGTACAGACTTGAAGATTTGTGTTACAGGGAAGTTAGATAAATCTGTTGCTGGTAGGAGTGAAGCAAGACCAGGAGGGTCGTACATTCAGTTCTTCATAGTCAGGTACAGTGTTAGTGTACCTCAGGGATAGTGACAGAGTGGGGAGCAGGAGGCTGAGGAATAAATCTGTGATGGCCTAGCTCCACAGTGTCCCCGTCTCCTGGAAGGAAACACTCTCAACACAGGTGTCAGTGAATCCGCACACACCGAGTTCCCATAAACACACCTTCAAAAATCACAGAATGCCAAGGAGTTAGGCCTCCATGATGCTATGAACCCTTCCCTTACATAATTCTCACAAAACCCTTTGAGGTATCAATGATATTATTTCCATATTTTGAGATGAAGACACCAAGGCATTGAGAAGTTAAGTTGCGTGTCCAGAGTTGCACCTCTTAGTAAGTGATAGAAGTAAGATGTAAATTCGGGGATCCAGGCTTCAGGGTCCAAGTTCATCGATCACATTACTCTTCATTTCAGGAGCACGAGTCAGCAGAAATAGCGAACACCAGAACTAGTTTTGTAAAGTGTTCAAAAATGTGGAGAAAGGGCAAGAAGTATGTTTTCTATGTTTAAAGAAAAAAAGGGTATTAAAAATATCAAAGATCAAGAGACTATTTTTAAAAGGATCAAAATTTTAAACATAAATAAAAAATTTTAAAAAGGCCAAAATTGGAAAGGAAAATATATAACTGTTAAAATTACCAAAGATGTTTTAAATTTGCTAAGGATATCCAAGAAAATCAATTCTAAAGTATTTAAAAGATTTGAAAGAAAGCATGTTGTCTTCAACATTATGCTAGAATTTCTTGCCAGGATAATAAAAACAGAAAATGAAAGAACAATTAAAATGGTTGAAATAAAAGAAACAAAAATATTATTATTTTTACAGCATGAAACAAATTTTTATTTCATTTTCAGGTTTATATGAAGCCTGACGTCAACTTCAAATTTTTGTGAATCTTTTCATTGTGAATTACATAAAGGTTTATATAATAGATCAGTTTCCCCTTAAATTCACACACATTTTGTCATCTCCTATCCTGTTTCCTCATT